ATACCATTTCTAATAGGTTGCTTAGCGTTTTTCTTCCAAGCAGCTCAATATAGCAGACATATTTAAAGATTTCTGTTTTTATGGCAGCCATATAACAGAATGCCAAGCTAAGAATCAATCAGATTTATGTGGCACGTGGCAAATAGTTCAATGCAACAATCAGTCTCTCAGTTTTTAATTATTTTGCACTTTCCTTGTAAAAAGGTGATTTAACTGGAAAATATTTACTATTACATCAAACGAACGTCTGGGAAGGTGACTCAAAGTTAAGAGTTAGCCTACAGAGTATTGCTATGTAGGACTAATTAACTCAAAGTACAACCAGCTGGGGGTTTTGATCTGCGTTTTGTTTCACAATTATTCTTGAATGCTGTTTACTTGTATTCTGTACGGTTTGAAAAAAAAAAAAAATAGAATAGAGCCATATGTTGAGAACCCCGTAGGCCTTATGGATACATAAATAAAAAAAACAACAAAAAAAAGCAGGTCATGAAGGGAACCCAGAAGGACCCCAGGTCCACTGTTACCTGCCAGCACCACCGTGACACATGGAACAAGATCCAAGGTTTTCCTTACGGCATGAAGAGCGGGGTACACTGCAACAAATGCAGCACTATTCTCAGTTCTGCGCATGCAGCAAAATGAACTCCTCCACTGTGTCTATGCACTTTGCAGAGTGTTTGAGGTTTACATTAGCAGATTTTTATGTCAGCTGTACGATTGCTGAGCTGGCATGTCATAATTGAGGTGATGGGAGCAGAAAACCATGTTCTGCATGGCCAACATGCACAGAAATCAATTAAACAAAAAGAACAATATGCAATATAAACCATTAATACACAGGTTTGAGTTATGAAAACAATCATTTACCTCAGGGATGCTTGTTTTAGACTCATTAATATCCATTATGGATTATGAACCTCTAAAGGAAGGCATAGCTCAAACACGTAAGGCTGAATTATTCATAGCAACAATGCTTATCCAGTACATTTTTTTTCTTTAAGAAAATGTGTTTTTGTTTAAATGGATGAAAACACTTTTAAATATATTTGAACACTTTCCTATTCATAAAATCTTCTAAAATAAACAGTAAAAAAAGATCTCCACTGTTTGTTTATGTATGTTTTGTTGAGTATTTGTATTCAACAAATATTATAACTTATAACTTAAGACTGGATATTCATCCAACCTTAAGTTATCATTCAGGGCTACAGCAGTATTCCTACATCCATGCTGTGAAATCACAAATGTGTCTAATGTGGCAGAAATCCTTCCAGGAATAAAGTCAGATTTAGAGATCTGGGCAAAAGGAGATAAGCCTAATATGCTTTATCATCTCAAAAACACCAGTAGCTTTCAACCAGAATATGGATCAATAACAAACATAGATATCACATGTTTAGTGTTTGTTAAATGCCAGCTTATTGGGTTCAGGGACACCTGTTTCTAAATATATCTTTTCATGCACCACTGGGAGAACTGAAGCAGTAAAGGTCAGGATGTCATTTATCCTCCCAGTGTGAGAGGATATCCTATCTGCTACAGCCTGGACACAAAAGGAAAAATGCAGTAAGAATCAGTGAAAGGTTAAAGTGTAAATATTAGCTTTCACAGCTGTTTTATGTAGCTCCATTCAGAGGGTAAATGAAGAACGAGGTACTTTTCTCTTTATTTCAGTGAAACCAAATTAAATATTGCTGCAAAGTCTTGGCAGTACAAGGCTGCTAAGGCGAGTTGCGTGGCAGCAGCTGCACTGCGAAGAAATAATAATTTATAATGCTTTCTCCAAATTGTGTTTTAATGTGCAAAGATTACATTTCACAGAAAGTCAGACTGTGTAACAGAAATTCACGAGAATTAATCTGATGCCCTGGGCTGAGTTTTAAATCACATTTTGAAAACAATTCTATGCTTTACAAGTTAGGTGTAAAAACTCAATAATGAGAGCATGAAATGAAGAGGAATCCCAAACCACAATGCCAGCTTTCACTGAGTTTTGGTGGTGGTGAAGAATTTCTCTGTTGACAAAACCCCAAATTGAATGATTTTGAAAACAAAAAAACAGCATATCAAGATATTATCTGAGTACATTTTTGGAAGTTTGGACCATACACAGGCTGGCTGGTTATAGCTACTATGAATGTTTGAAAGAATAACATTTTGAAGTAAACACAGGAGTCTGCTATGAAGCAGCTAAAAGTCAGGGTTTAGTACTGCAGAATTAATTACAAACAGAACAAGTTTTACATTTGCACAATAAGGTCAGAAGGGAATGAATACTTATGCACAATGCTGTATGCACAAGTCTGGTAAGTGGCAAATTTGCTAAATATATTTTTGTTATAAGCACTAAAACGCATGTGGAGATGTTTGTTTTCATGAAAAGAAACAGCATCCGATCACCCAATAAGTATTTAGTCTAATGTGTTACCACTCATTGCACTGATTCAATGTTTGCTTGAGTCATGCAATTGAAAGGGTGCAAACATGAGCATTACAATGTGTGAGACATGCTGGTCTTTAATTAGATTGTAATGTCTGAACAAATAAATGATTTTAAAAGGCATGTTACTTTTTTATTTTTCTTCCAGCTGGTTTTAATTGGCCCATCTGGCAATGTATGTCTAAGCTAAACATTTGTTGAAAATACTCGATTGCTGAATTGCTTAGAATTTGGCTTCTGTTAGTCCATTGTGCGAATGCATTGGTCATTGAAAAGTTCTTCGTTCTTCATGTGATGATCTTAAAACCACAAATATACCACAAAACTTTAGCTACCTGAAACTGTGATGGTTTTTTCTTATTTAAAAAGCACTCCAAAAGATAATAACAATCTTTAAAGCTTTAAATAGCTCAGTAAATAAACTAAGAATGAAACATTTTAATGAAACAAATAAATTGTTCCTGCAGATTTTTTTTGTCTATATGTGATTGTAGATCAAAAACAAAAAAAAATGTATGCAATGCTAGTAGAAATGTGAAATATATTGTGAAAACTGACTATGATGCACTCTTTTTCAAAAATGAATTGTTGAGCCCAAGTCTGCTCCCAATTAATGCGAAATTGAAATGAAAACAAAAATAATATTTGTGTCATAACTAAAATTTTCAAAGAATTCAAGGAAACTATCTCCCTGAAATGTTAAAAACTGTTGTGCTAAATTTATACATTTATCAAATTGCAGTTGGGGGTCACACAAAACTATTCAAGGGCCTCAAATGGTTGCACTTTCGAGAACCCTGAATTGAACAGACAATCAATTCTTGAATGGGGTTTTCTTTGAAAGCACAGCACCAGTCAATAGTCTACAATTAATTCAGAGGCATATTGTGATCACAGTAGCTCTGCTCTGTGCTACTTCAGTGGCGCAAAGAACCTGAATCTAAAAACTCAACAGGAGACAACATCACAGGGTCAACTCAATACTCAGAGACCAGGGACAATCTGTAGTGAATGTCGACTAAATTACCGCCACCCAGTCACATGCAGCTCCTCATCACTCAGAGTGTGAGGTAACCTTCCCCGCCGCTCTCACCATGTACCTCTCCGCTCTGAGATGTCGTGGTTGGTGGCTGAGTCACAGTTCGTCTCTGACGTCACCGCAGACAATTACTAACGAACCAACAGATCTCCAACCGGGCGGCCACTTTGATAGATCCATAATGCCTTATCATGTCTGTCCAGTGTTTCAGAAGAAGCTGTGAAAAGGATTTGCACATCTGCAGGGAATCCTAGCAATACTTAAAGCTGTACATCACTGGCATTAAGAAAAAACTAGTCTTCAATCAGGATTATGAACTGTGTTTGGGCTATTTCTAAGTCAAGTGTTCTTCATCATCCTGAGATGTCCTTATGGTTGTGTCTGTCTGATGATGAGGGTGGAAGGCGACATTCAGTGTGACTGTCTGTAGCAGCAACTGTCTGTTTGTATCAATTATGTACTATATGTCCAGATTGGCCTTTATGTTACAGATTGCATCCTGCATTTCTGCACCCAGAACACCAGCAAACCGGCGACAGATGATCGAAAAATTACACACCAGCAAGGTCAACGACTGATTTAATAATCAACAATGGCCATTCAAAGTAAATTTCTGTCCAGAAAGAAACAGCCACATGACGCAAAGAAGTGCATAATAATTGAAGGTGTTGAGGCTGTGACTAAGCGGTAACCTGCTCTCCCTGTGCTGTACTTGTGAAGTTGGGAGAACAGTTTGTAGCTCGTGACTCAACCCAAATGCATTGTGTTGCAGTCTCGGTCATTGTGTTTATAGAGTTTTAGGTCTCTTGTGTATTTTGCTGTGGAGCTACATGAAAATACGTGTTGTTTTAAAAGCAGCGGCACTCATTCCAATAAAAAAAAGTTCCAGGACTGATCTGGATGGTTTTATTGTATCCTTTTTAATTCTAGGTTCTTTATACTGATTATTGAAACTCCTGACAGATTTAGCATGTGGATAAATATTTATACTCTTTTCAAAAATCAATGGAAAAAAAATATTAGTATTACAACATTCAACCTGTTCTTCTAATCGAAAAAAACATTCACTCATCCATCCATGCTCAGATGTTTTTTAATGTTTTTTTCCCCCCGTTTTTCAATCTCAGTGAAAAAGAGGAATAGAAATAAATCCTTAAGAGTCTCTCCGGTCATCTAAACTCATTTTCTATGACTTGTTTGCAGAAGCTGCCTCAATGTAAGATTAATTACAACAAACTTTGCAGATTTCAAGAGAATAATTTTCTGGAGCAAATTTTCTGGTTTTGCTCCAGTCATGACTTTTTGTAATGAAAGTAATCAACAGAAAGCGCCTTTCCTTCAGTTATTATGGCTGTGTTTCATCTGCGAACTTGTCTTTGGACCCTTTTACCCCGTCTGCTCATGGCAGGACTATTGGGCCATTTTTGTTCATTAGCGGTTATGTGCAATGATGAGAACATTGTTATGGTGTTTTTCTCCAGCGGCAGACAGAGCAGAGTCAATAAATGAGCTAACAAGACAGCTTGGAAATAGGAACGCATCACAGTGAGCACAATGCTGCTTATTTACAAACTGCATTTTAGAAAACAACCTCAAACCTGCATTTACAGAATTTAGAAAACATTTATTTGTCATCGAAGCAAAGCCTTCAAATAATGAAAAATATTAGACAGAGCTCCAAGACAGACAAATAAGTTAAATAATGCATATTAGACTTTATTACACCCAATAAAGTCTAATACAGAGTAATTCTGTCGTGATTGCAGTGTGGACCATTGCAGCAATAAATTCTGTAGTTTTCTTCATTTAAAGCCACACACTTTCCTTTTTCAACAAAATGTCAACAAAAATGAACCCTCCTGCTGCTTTTCACAGTTAACAAAAAGCTTTCTGTCCAGCACTGCAACAAGCCTTGTGGGAGTTTGTTACATTTACTTGGTTGTATTTACTTAAGCAACTTTTTGAACGTGAATGAAAGTATGGAACGGGATTCTAACATATAGGAATGTAGGAAATGTACAATATATAAGGCTTCATGAGCATTATATGTTTAGAAAATCTTTGGAAATGTGTTTTACTTCTTCCTGATTTGTTGTTATGTAACAGTGTTTTTAAGACGTAATAATTTTTATTTTATTTATTTTACAATTTATTTTTATTTCTTAAAGGAAAGTGGATGTCTGCCCACATTTTGAACTGACACATAAGAACTAAAAACATCCCAAATACAAGAACACATTTTCTGCAGACATGTTATATCTGTTGCCTCTTTGATGCAATGCTAAAGTCATTTCCATGGTATGAACTTTGATCATACTATGGACAAAGTGTTTTTCCAATTATTTCTCTTCTTAAAAACATGATAGAAAGGCTCATGTCCATCTATGTTATAGATTTGAAGATTTTCTGACTAAAATATGACATTTGTTCAATAGGGCAAAAATGATGATAATTTTTTTTTGCATATAAAGTATTTTATTCTAAACATTCTGAAAAGTGTCATGACTTTAAAGTGACATAGCAACATCAATGTATTAACATACAAGAAACAAACAAGAGTCATACTTTTTAAGAGTCAATGCAAAGCCTGGCATAGTACATAATACCTCCAGTGTTTATAAATTCATTGAAAGTAGCATGCAACAATTGGTGAAATTGTATATATATATTTTTTTTTTTTGAAAATTGTGACTGTGTGAATGAGGCTCCACAGGTTGGGCAAAGGATTTACAAGATTCCCATGCAAATATTCTAGCCAGATTTAGGTCTGTAATGGGATTTTGAGAACAGTGGAAAAATGTTGTCAAAGATTGCTCTGACTAGATGGAAAATAGTTGCAATATAACATGGTGCATGTGAACCAGGGCTTTAAAAAGGCAGGTTTTCACAGTTAAAAGACACAGACGTTTACATTCAGAATGAGGCTTGTCTCGTGAATCGGTAGATACATTCAACATGCTTGAGTTGGGGTTATGAGAGTCAGACCTAATTATTGTAAAATGGCTACCTAAAGAGAAGAAGATGCTGCGATATTAAAACAAAACCCATCTGTGGGTGCAAATATCACATATTTCAAGTTTTTTTTGTCAAATTTACACATACCATCACAAACGCACGTATATATTATCATAATATTCAACACCTTTCTTTGGATGTGTCATCACATGGTCTGGTGCCTTATGTAACAACTCACCATCAACATGCTGTGACTTTCTACCTCACTGACAGGTTCTCAATCTCAGAATTGACTGACAAAAAGCAACATGGTGACTTTTTGAAGGAGAGGCTTTGACTTCTGAACCCAAACCAAGGCGTGAATAGATTTCCCTGTGGCAACTCAGTTTTAAAGTGTCTTTCACTTCAAATATATACCTTAAATTTAAATAAGCTGTAAAATACTTTTAATAACAAAATATTATGATATTTCTCCTCCTCTTCTAATTTTTAATAAACTAAAGTCTTAACGCCAACACAAATACCGCAAGAACAGAGAAGTTTGTTCTTTTGCTGGAGGTAGCAATGACACAGTTCTTTCTGGTCAGGATGTTCAATACTTAGCAAGAAGGTTTGTAAATAATAATGTGAATATGAGAAGAAGAAAAGTACTGTCCAAAAGCTGCAAGAGATCCAAATTATTCTGGGAGAGAGAACAAATGTTTCTGTTCTGGCATGGGCGTTAAGTGAAGATATGACATGATAACACATGGCAGCTACTGCCTTAGAGGACCCGCGTTACACTCTGCACAAATCAGTGCTCTTACTAAGGACAACCTAAGAAAAATAGGGGGTAAACTTTGACTTTAAATATGCCATGTTGGACACACCTACTATAAATTCACAAGTTTAGTCTATTTATTGAAACTGGGACTTTATATTAGTATGTAATGTTAGCATTTATGGTTATCTACAAATGCAGAATGGTTGGAAAATTACATTTACTTGACAATTATAAAAAATCAGGTAGAACAAATATTGTTGGGACAGTATTTGCTGACCTTTGTCTGGTATTATTAATAATACATTTTTATAAGACATATAGAATGTATAGTGTGGAAACAAAAATCTGAACTTAATAACCTCTTGTTCCGGACTCCAAAAAACTGACTGGGTGGTTTTGCATAATACCATTTCCATAAATGTTTTAATAGTATGAATGATCATTCTCTGTTTAGCAAATGGACTTCAAATAGATTGAAGATATTCATGTAACTTCCTAGATTGCAATTTCTTCACTATTTGGTTTTCTGATTTAGTTAACCCCTCAGTTTTATATTCTATTTTCTGCTGAGTTGCAGTCTTTGGTTATAATTAATCTCTTTAAAGAATAATTTCTAAATAAGACTTTAGTCAAAGTCGTATTTTGAAACATTTCTGTGAGCTCTCTGTGTTTAAATCATGTTACTGTTGCACCTGTTTCTCAATTTCTGTGACTTTGTTTTAAATCTTAATTCATTTTACTGGGTTGTGCCCTCCTTCTGGTTTGCATTCTAACCTGGTTTCCAGTGTACTCTCATTTTCATTGTTTTACCTCGGTTACCTCTGCATGTTCCCCTCACAGCTGACATCCATTCTGCTAATGAGACCCATCTGTGTTCACTTCAGTGATCACATTCCCCAGTATTTAAGTCTTGATTTTCACTCTCTCTGGTTCTTGCGTTTCCTCATTTGTTGTAAGTTTGCTCCTTTTTTTTCCCTCTCCATTTTGACCTCCCCTCTCCCATGTGAATCATATTTGTCATTTGAGTATGCCAATAATAATAATATTTTCTCTTCTGTCTTTAACACATTATGTGACTTTTCCAGAAATTATATCAAGTCACATGTAAAACTATTTTTTGAAGTATTTGCTGTCAGAGTTTAAGATTGCAGGGCAACACAGAGGGACGTCAAAGAAAGGTTAAAAACCAAAGTGTCAAAAGAAACATTTTTGGACACTCAGAGAAAAAGCCTGATTTGCTGAAGTGATCACAAAGGAGGCCTAAAAGATAGATGCACAAATTTCCTCACTAAGAAAGCCACAGTCAGGCATCATTCACTCAGTTCATCCATTCCTAAGTGCAGAACATCATTTGCTGCTGAATTATTGGCTATTGAGTCGCTGCTGTAACATGCAGCAGGCTAAATGAAAGGTTTTGTGTGGTATACATTCAGTAACATTAAATACGCCATCTACTTTAACTGGAGAAATGTTTGCAGACAAATTCGGCCAAGCAAAGCAACAAATGTGCCTCAAATGTCCCTAGACTTTACTGTTACAGCACCATATGGTGCCTTGCAAGAGCATTCTTACCTCTTAAGCTTTTGCAGATTTTGTCAAATTCCAACCTCAAAGTTCAATATGCTTTAGTAGGATTTCATGTGATGGAATGATGGAAGGAAAATGATGCATGGTAAGCGTTTGTATTCAGCCCCCTTTACTCCAGTATCCCTACACAAATTCAACAAAAACAGCCAAAAGGTCAATGGTTGCCCTGGAAGATCTGCAGAGATCTACCGCTCAGGTGGGAGAATCTGTTGACAGGACGACTGTTTGTCGTGAACTTCACAAATCTTCCTTTTATGTGAATGTGTCAGGGAGCAAAGCACTGTTGAAAAGAAGCCGTAACAGGTCCTAATTCAAGTTTACCACAAGCAAATGGCAAACATTTGAGCATAGGCTGTCTATTCAAATCGGATGAAAATCATTTTGTGTAGATGTTTTGACAATGCTGCAAAAAAATTTAGAATAGTGTACAAGTGCAGCTTTCAGCAACTCTTAACCTGCAACCGAGGTTTTAATATAGAAAATCACAGAAGGGCCCAGTCAAATCCCAGAACTAAATCAATGTAAAACTTGTGGAAAGATATAAAAAATTCTGATCATACATATTCTCCATCCAATCTGAACAAGATTGTGCTACTTTGCAAATTGTCGATATTAAAATAAATGTTTCTAAGCTGGCAGACCACAAATGAAATACAGCTGCAGCAAAGTGTGGCTCAGCAAAAACATTGACTTCTATTAGCTGAATATAAATGCACACCACACCTTTGTCTTTTTATTCGTAAAGCATTTTTTTTTAAATATGTGTTAATATAACAAAGTTCAAGGTGTAAATATACTTTTGCAAGGCACTATGTATGCATTAATTTCTACGGAAAGCAAAATGTGATGACACACAATGCTGTGTGTTTTAAATTTATGGCTGAAGTGTTTTCACTCATTCGGAAAATCCTGGAGAAGCTTAAGACAAATAACTCGTACTGCTCTGCTGATGCTCTATTCAGATCCAAGACCTAAACAGATGGTACTTTGACTCAGGGGAAGGTTGGGTATTGATGGTTGAAACACTTTACACTATGCAACTATTTAGTGTGTCAAGAAGACATTCACCTTTAAAACATTATGTTCTCTGCTTTCATTTATAAATGTTCTATGTAAGTATTTTAAAAAATTCTTCAACTGTCCATGATGCATTTCAAAAATGTCCTTATTACTACTGTGATCAAAATTAACACATGATAAGATGGACATAAGTCTTTTGTTGCCCTCATCTGTCCAGTGTTTTCAATAAGGCACCAGTGAATTATCCCTCAGGGTGAATAGTTCATGGAGAAAGCAAAATGTCAACATTCGTCTCTTTAGTAAAGGGTTGATTAAGTGGCAGATGCAAGGCAGATAAAGTAAACAGAAGATGAACGATGAGAAAAGGAACATTCCTTCCAGGACTTCTGCCTGTAAAGAACCACAGGATAGACCCGTGGGTGACAATTTGGTGTTTTCAACTATTGGGATCATTGATCCAACCCCAGTTTTAGAGTGGCTGTCACGAGGTGAGTGCAGATCCCCCTATTGCTTTTTACGTGTTGTGTTTCCCAGGAAATACTGTGAAAAAGAAGACTAGTGTGCTGCCTGCAGCCTCAGGGTGGACTTTTATTTCCTTCCAGCTTCAGCAGTGTTTGAACTTGCGCTTTAAATTCAATCTCGTTCCATTTGGCTCAGGTACAAACACATCTTCAGTAAAGTCTGACTTCTTCTATAAATCCAATGCAATCTGTTTTATTTCTTATGTGCAAGAGATAAACATGGACAAAAGTGAACAGCTTGATGACTTATCTGTGCTTAGGTGTTTGAATCACGGGAAAACAATCTGCTTCATTCAGGTACCTCATCAATGTCTGGCATCAGTCAATGATCACTGATGCCTCGGGTTTGTTTTCAGTCTCACAGCTGCAATGCTCATTTGAGGTTTTCGATTATGGCGATTTCCTGTCGATCAGCGTAATCTGGACTGAGGCCGTTCAGATACAAGCTGCCGTTCCTGGTGAGAGCCCCTGGGACGGGACTTAGAGAAAGCGTCAAGGACGGATACGTTTCTTTGTCCTCGCACAGGTTGGCTGACAACGTCCTCTTCCCAGGGGTCATCTCCTGGTTCATGGTGGCGTTAATTCCCAGCTCGGACGACAGCTTGCGCTTGATGGACGCGGCCCGCTGGAACCTGTCATAGATGTCGACACTAAGCCGCCTGCGGGTCTCTTTGAACTCCGCTGATACATTCGCCGTCCACTCAGCAGCATGAGCACGAAACTCCCCGACCTGCAGAGACAAAATGAAGATTTATGTCCAAATGGCTCTTTCTCTGTTGCTCACATTAGAAAGAGATTTAACCCTACGGACAGATCCATTGCTGCCCATTGAGTCAAACATCTAGTTCAGCCAAAACACATTCACAGGCCACAATTTTCTGTGCAACTTTCAACAGTAATACTGATTATTTGAATCAGTTTTCAAATCAGTATTTGAATACTGGCTCAGTATTCAAAAACTGAATCAGCCATATACATGGTAGCAACTTAATGCATTTAGACAGGGGCGCCATACGGGGGGGAAAGTGATGACAATTCTGACCAACAGGGGCCCTCCACAATTTATCTACTTATTTTTTGTTCATAGCAATTAAAAGAAAAAATGTGGCCCTGTCAATTGCAAAATTAATCATTTTGTGTTTTCGGAGATTATTTTTAGCAGTAAAAAATGTATGTTACCCCTCCCAGACAAAAAAAAAAAAACATCCATTTTTGCCCTGAACTCTCTGGGATCTGTATGAAATGGTTCGTTCCTGCTTGACAGTGACGATGTTCAGCAGTTCAGTACAAGACAAGAACTGCTGTGGCAGTTCCTATGCTGCCAAGAGAAATAATAAAGTCAGGTTTTCAAATAAATAAATAAATAAATAGAGAGGGAGAGAAAAAGGTAAGTGTCAATTTGTAACTCGTTTTTTCTTCGAGAGGTGGGTTGACTGTGTGAAATTATCAACCATTCAGTATAATTAGCTTAGCTACAGACTACTGTTTGCCTCCATTTCACTAGCATTTGATGAATTAAGGAATAAATTCACCAAGATTTAACTTGTTCCTGAGCTTTTTACCAGCTCTATCTAGCCCATGTCCCTCCTGACCCATCCTCTCCTAAGTGAAATTAAATCTGCAGTATGTTGCTTTTATTTAAAAAAAAATATATATTTTTCACATATTTGTTAAAACTATCATTATGTTATAACAAGATGATCTGAGAAAAATCTATTTCCTCTGCCTTCTGGTTGTAATCTAGAAACAACCAATCAAGTGCTGTCAATCAAAATCTCATGTGGTGCTGCTCATCCTCCCCCCTCCTGTGATGCTTTTTATGTATCAAATAGACTCACAAAATTGTAACAGCAGCTGCCCAGGGGGGGGCCCAATTAAATTTTTTGTCAGAGGGCCCAAAATTTCTGGCAGGGCCCCTAAGAGTAGACAGCTACATGTTCAAACTGGGTATCAAAATTACGAAGAATATGGATTTTAGAGATTTTGAACATGGTGTGGGTGTTTGTGCCACAAGCGCTTGTTTCAGTAAAGACTAAAGCTCATTATGTCTTTCACCATGTTGTTTTTACCAGTACTGTGCATTTTACTTTATCTAAAATCAAGGCATAACAAAATGTCTGTCATCATGCTGCACCAAAACAAATGAGGATTTTGTAAGCTACGGATACAAAAAACAAACCTGGTTTTAAACTTTTCCACTCAGTTTTGAATTTATTCTCATTTCCTTCAAAATGGACTCATAACTACTCAAACCACTAAGAATATAACACGTAAAAACAATAGTTTTCTAAGTCGTCATGAATGTGGAAATGACAGTTCAGTTACAGGAAAGAAAACGTCAAGACGATTAAGAGTGCCCAAGAAGCACCAGAATGGTTTCTGGCCAAAGAGTTCCCCACTGTCTCAGAAAAGATTATTCAGATCTTCAAGATAATTTGGAAAAAAGGCATGCTATGTTCTCAAAAATACTATTCTCCTTGTGATGGATTGAAAAATTATTTATTTAGGAACGATGAGAGCTTCTATATGTGCCCTTTATCAAGCAAAAGTAAAGCTTGAAGCAAAGAAATTGACTGCTTTTGCAGAGAGGGTTTACTCACCACTCTGATACTGGCACGAATAAAGGCTGGCAGCAAAACATCCTCCAAGAGTAACTTTGTCAAGCAATCTGGGCACAATTTATTGATCATGTGTGCATTTTCCATCATGATGGATGGAGCACAGTGTGAAAGAACAAAGATCATCAAAAATGACATTTTGTCAGCATGTCAGACTTCACAGTACAAAGCGATTTAAAATGATCCATCTTTGTAAAACATATACAGTATATCAATTTTCACACCTGCAATCAAAAGTCCAAGTACACTTAAAACATCTCGTTTTAATACAATATATAAGTGGGTGGTAAAAAAGAATCAAAATATTTTCAAAAGGTATTTTTAATCTGACAAAACAGCCTCATCATATTGAATATGACTGTCTATAGGAAATCGTGCTGTAACTAGTTCAATGTACCCAGTAAATTGAACTGGTTAAGGCTGTGACTAAACCGCAGATGCTTTTAGTGGACTATTAACATTCAAGACTCATTGAGTTTTGTTCTGTGATCTAAGCCTTGACTCAGTTAGCAAACTTGGACTATCCGCTAATGGATGAAATCATGTTGAAGCATTTAGAACCCTGAAGCACTTAACCCAGAAATGTATTAAGAGAACAAAAGTCACGCATTGATTGTCAGGCTGACCACGTCTAATAACTTCAGCCTCTTTAATGTGCGCAGCTGACAAAAAAGTTCACTGAGATCATAAATGGCACGTCCATTAATCTCCTCAGACAGCTGTTGAAAAGCTCTTCCCTCCAGCGCTCTCCCACATGCTTTGCCCGTGCTCCAATTAGCAAACCACATGGAGGAACTTTATAACCCTACACGGTGTTGTTCTCCATTATTGTTCATTTATCACAGTGGCCGACTGCAGATGTGAAGATTTGTGAAAAACGGGAAGGAAGAAATCAATATCCAAGGATGATGTTTTTGAGACTGGTGCAATAAACAGGTTTTTCTTAGAATTGCAGCAAATCTGTGCAATTCATGCACAGATCTATAAGGGATGCTGTGCAATATTCATAATAATACAATATTTATATTGGGGGTTGTGCCCACTGGGTTTGTCTCTAAGGCCAAAATGCCTTGATTGTGACTTTTACACAGTCACTATCATCCAGTTGTCACGTCTAGTTTTATTATTCTGTATGTCTTACCGACCAGGATGCATCAGTGAATAAGACAAACCAGTTTTCTGGTACAGATTTGTAAAAGTATAAGGTGCACACAGTATGTATTATTGACACAGACAGCGAGAGCATCCATGGTTATTGAAAGGTTTCACCTTAATATTGCATCAGCCTTCCTTCTCTAGGGTCCATATTTATTTAGCAGCCTTTGAGGTGAAGAGGCATTTGAATTGAAATCTATGGCACATGTGCGCGCAGATTGGGGAAAACACCTCCTGTCTGCTCGTTTTCTCTGCCTGCTCGTCATCGACGCTCGTTCCTTCCAGCAACCTCGCACTGAAAACCTCCTCTCCCAGTGATTTGATTCTCTGCACAGCTCCCAGCCTCCTCAGACGTACACTTTATATGCCAGTGGAAGGATGGAAAAGGCCGCATACTTCCAAATAGCCACCGCTCTGTCTTATTCATGTCAAAGAAAATAAGATGATTTTGAATTCAGGAGGAGAGCAGATGTGTGTATGTCGATGTTTGGCTTTTATTTATTTATTTTTATTTTTTTTCATGTGAGTTATGAACCTGCCGTTACAGCAAGGTATTCTATTACTCAGCTCCGGCAGACGTCCAGTGACAGACTGTATTTACTTCACAGAGCGAGGGCAAGATGAATACACATCGCTTTCAGATTCATAGCTTGAGGGGCATAAACAGTGGGGTGACTGTGGTCTTAGGCTTATTGTAAATATCTCTATACATAGCATATTAGACACACTGCCGATGTGATGGCGAAGAGATGTTTAGACGTCAGCACAAAACAGCAGCATAATATTGAATTATTTGTTTAATTGTCAGATATCATATTACAACTTTATTCTGGTCATATTATGACTGTGTTATTGTAATGTTATGACTTTATTCTCGTAGTTAAAAAAAAAACAAAAAAAAAAACACTGTAGCCTGGCCGTAATACTTTGTCATAAAAAACATGACCTGAATTATTAGTCCAAATAAATAGAAGCTGCCATGGGAAAACTGACATCATTTGTAACTGTGGAAACATAAGATGTGAATTAATTAAAAATGATATCCATTTTCCAAAAATTAATTCTTCAAAAACCAACAGTGTGATTAATGATGCGTTAGACATTAAAGACAGTACAAACAGGCAGATCTCTAGTCTGCCAAGATATGCAGCATCCAAATCAGTAACTGCTCTCCAAATATTTGTCCATCATATTTTCCCCAGAGTGTCTCACTGCAGCTCCAGCCTCACTTTAGCTCCGATTATTTATCAATGTTTAAACTTCCACATGTGCAGCATGAGTCTGAAGTAAGTTTTTAGAGCCAATCAACTTGTTCTTTGAGGGAAACTTGATTTAGTGTTGGGTAATCAGCCAGCTACAAGTCATTAACTTTTGTCTTGATTAGCAAAGCACAGACTGATTATTTGGAGAAACTAGATAATAAGAAACCACTTCACAGCTTTCTAATGGAAGGTAGGTTAATATTACGACACAGTTGTTGAGATGCCCAAGACATAAAGACATATAAGTGAATATGTCTTCACTTATTTATACTGTAGGAAATGGTAAGTTGTCTCACTTCTATAGAGCTTCATCAGGTACAATGACTCCTGAGCCATCACTGCCCTCAGCAAGAAGCAACATTTTGATCTTCAGATATATTTCTTATACTTGAGCCACAACAGCACATACCTCCTCTTTAGTTTTCTTAGAGATGACTCTGAACCAGTCTCCAATCATGCTGAGCACTGCTGCAAAGTACGCCAAGCCCACCAGGATCCAGAACCACACCACCGGCTTGTAGTAGTCGAGGTACTCGAGGTTCTCTGAACCACCTGTAACACAATCAACACAACAAGTGGGATATAGTGGAGCACCAAGTTTGGTCTTTTAAATTAGTTGAGGTAAATAAATTGGACAATTTAGTTTTATAACTTAATGAGAGTTGGTTTGTCAGTCTTGTAGAGAAGTCATCTGTCTCAGATATTAGAACTTCATTAGCACTTCATCGCAAGAGAATGGTGGACTAACATGTATAAAACACTCACATAAAACAGAATATCATATAACATTTAATTTTTAAAACTAAACATTCATTCTCACTGAAAAAAACATAAAGAATATCTTAGAGTGTTTTCAGGATCAAAATTAAGAACAATGTGAAATTACTCAAAAATCTTTTAAAATAGTATATATATATTTTTAAAAACTCTACAAAAAATTGGTCCATTCAGAGTAAATCTAATAATGATGACCGTCAGCCAGTTTGTTAGAATAAGCTACAAGCAATGCACTTGTACATGCATCTGTATTTAAATCCAAACACCATATTTACAAAAGCTACGGAGCAATATAAGTTTAAAGTGATATGTGAGTGCACATTACAGGGCATGTTTAACTAAGAGGATCCCAAGCTAATTAGTTTACTGTAACTACCGCAGGCTGATGCAGGTGCTGTAATCTAATCGATAATCACTAGGGCTGCTCAGGGAAGTTTAATCTAGCAGCTAAGTGTTTGTGATTTTTCCCCATCTGCCTCTGCCTTGTTATCTGCCAAGCAGGTCAACTTGAACTAACTGCCTGCTGAACACACACACCCACACCCACACACACACATGCCCACGTGCATCCACACACACACATGTACACACAAACTTTAATGAAGACACACCTAGTGTCTCTCTTTTATTCTCTCCAGTTTTGGCTCTCATTCACTCCTGCCAGGTTCACTTACTGCATTAGCAGTAAGTATGAAGTTAAATCTTCAGACTTGTCATGATGTGTTTGAATCTTTGACATAATTTGGGTTGACTTTCTTTGTTGTGTGTATGCCCATATCTTGTGCATTAGTTGCATTAGTCCCTTTATGCATTTATTATTGTCAGAGCATTTGGACTCATTTCTTTAGATTAGTGTTCCTTTCTGTTTATTATATTTTCCATTTAAGTTCCCTGGTCTCTCTTCCATTAGTTCTCCCCACTTTGTTTCTTTCACCTCTTTTTGTTGCTCTCTGTGATATTCAATGAATCCTCTGTGATTTTTTTCTGTTTTCTATTTTTCTTGTCAATCTCAAATATTAATAAATTTTAGTATCAGCTAGCAATATTTCTTTAATTAACCAATTCATTCATCAAAGTGTAAAATACATCCCTATCAACTTGGTCCCATGTGAGAACATATTTGCCAATTTTGCTAATTGACAAATTGGTGAGCTGCCATCCAACCAAGTCACTTCATCAGTACTTGAAAACTGATCAAAGATGTCATAACACAACTAAGAATAACGTCTGCCTGTCAGCAGCCACAATTTATCACCCTTCTGGGTGGGCACCAACAAGTAGCACTGACATAGATGCAGAATTTAGGATCAAAATAGTAAAAGCTGCTTTACTCACATTAGGTATATACTTCCTGTTAAACAGTTTCTATGCTTCCTCTGACTTTGTCTTACAGTGGAAAAGAGTCATGTTGCACAACTTAGTATGGTGTTTCACTGATTGGAAAATTCTTCTATTTTTTAACTTTCCACTAGTCAGGGATCATCAGGTTAAAACTTAGGTTATAGTGATCAAGAGACATTTTCTGGGTGCATCTCTAGTAGAATGATGATACCATGTGTTTTGTATGTAATCGTTCTTATAATGAGGTTCACATCGTTGCTTTTAATGTAATTTTGGAATTTTCAATTAATTTTGGTACTACAAAGTTTACAGCACATGTGGTATTACTGTACATGTAGAACACTGTGAGCAGACTACCAGCGATGCCGAAGCCTTTTTGAGCCAATATGTGACACAGGAAATATAATTTCATGTTGTCCAGCTGCTGTTCCAGCACCTTATTCTTCCTTTCGATGGTGTAAATGGAGAAAGAAAAACTGTTGGGTCTCTATATAACTAAACAAAATTTCACTGTAACCCAAAAGCACAAATTTTAAACTGAACCACGTGTGGCTTGGAATAACTTAGCTTTGGATTTTGCCTATTTGCTTGTTTATGTGGTACAGTGAGTCACAGTTGTAAATAAAAGCAAATTTTATTGCACTTATTTTTTTTAGTTTGATCTCATGACTCTGCTATCTTAATACCACTCATCACATTGAAATTTGAAGACCCATTTAGGTGACGAGTAACAAATTCAGAAGGATATCTTAGATTTAACAGATGGGAGAGCTGAACATATAGCAGCCATTTGTAGTCAGTGATGAAATATAAGGATCGCAAAAAACTGGCTGGTGGGAGATTCATTGCCACTTAGCCCATCCACTGAGTCAAGCTGTCCAGCTTTTCTATAAATACACAGATTTTAATAGAGGTGTCAGTCAGGCAAATGAAGGACATGCTGCGAAACGAAATCACATACCCTCGGTCAGATGACCTTTTTCTCCGGCCACGAAGTCTCCGAAGCCAATGGTGGTGAGGGTGATGACGACAAAGTAGATGGACTCGAGCGTGCTCCAGCCTTCAATATGTTTGAAAATGACAGCTGGCAGGGCCACGAAGATGAGGCACCCAAACAAGATGAAGAGCAGGGTGGAGATGACGCGGATCTTTGTCTGGCTGACTTTCCACTTCTGACAAAAGGAGAAAAGGAAATTATTGAGAAGTTTTACACTCTGACACCTCAGAGACAGAGACAAGGTGACTGATGGTTAGAACATTTTACCAGAGCAGAAAAGCGTTTCAAAAATGCCACACCCATTGAACTTTTTCATGTTGTTTCAAGTTATTTAAAAATGAATCTTTTCTTAATAGGTTATATTTGCTTCACCATTACTCATTCACATAGTTTACGTCTTTCTAGAAATAAAGTTTTGTTTTACTATATTCTAAATCTAACACTGCAGAGTTCATGCGGTATGCTTTCTTCGCTAGATGGAAGAGGATGAGATGCATGTCTCCTCATATCTGTCATCTGCTAAAAAACAATGGTCTCATTTTGTTATTTCAGTTGCTACCATGATAGTTGATGTCTGAATGAACTCAGCAGTAAGTCTGATGGGCAAAAACTCTAATTTAATGTGAAATCTGCAGTCTTTTTCTTTCCTTCACAGCTGCTGTGAGTTGAAACATATTCTGCATGTAACTGATGTCTGGGGTAGCTTTTCCACTTGAGATTACTTCCTTCAGCTGGTTTCATGCTGATAGCATCATGCCCTTTTCCTCCCTGGTTATGTAAGACCTAAGAACAGAATGTCTAAGGGGAAGCATAAAGAGCATACAGACCTCGGATCAGAGTTTTTGATCCCTTCTCGGTGCCTTCTGCAAAAATATGGAATACTGTAAATTTTAAAGATGATGTGCTATGCTAAAATTAGTTGAAAACCAAGCTTGAGTTTCTTCCCAAGGGGGACTGATAAAGCTGAGTTGCTGTAAACCATTTCCCCCCTCCAGCAGTGACAGTAGTAATCCATCTGTTTCTATTGTCTGAATGACCCTCCAACCTTCCCTGCTCCAGAGGGAGTGACAGAGCGTGCAATGAATCAGTAACATAATTAACCTGTTGCTGTCAAGTATCTGGGTGTTAAAAAAATTGCCACTGCCACTGGTTTTGCTCCAAAACGGAAAGCTTAGATCGTCTTTTTGAATAATTGCACATGCAGAAAATGTCTATAAAATGTTGGGCTTTAATTGGAGAGAGTATAATCTGCCACCAGTCTCCAGTCAAATGACTTTGGAGTAGCGCCTGAGATTAATTGGTTGTGTGCCCAGTTTCTAGTGATAACACCTAATTGAAAGTCTTTATTTTCCCCGCAACAGTAAGCACCAGCTCAGGGATAAAACAGTTGTGACATATCTGCAATCAGAAGGTTGTTCTTATCAGACAATGTTTCCTTCACAGCACTGAGAATAGTGGCATGTCCTGCCCTCCAACTGTCCACAGGCTTGTAGTAGAGATCCGCCAGTCAGCAAGTCTATCAAAGATCAATTTATCAATCTGTTTGTCTGTCTGTCAGACATCCCTTACGCTACTGACCGTCTCGCTCAATCTGGGAAGTTGGCTGCTTCCTGAGATGTGGGTTTGGTTGAAGAATAAGGGCTTCCTATTACTTAAAAGAAAACACATATACTGTAAAGCCACTGTAATGTTCGGTGATGAGCCGAGTGGTGAAGTGCAAAGCATTGTGAGGGTTTTAAAAGCGTCTCACTGGGAAGTGGTTTCCTCTCCACCTGCTGTTCATATGGCTGGTTGAGTTTTTTTGTTGAAAGAGTGGGCGAGGACAGCAGGGAATAGCATACTCTTGAATAAATCTGGCCTCATTTCAAATTTCTATCCTTTTCTCATCCTTTCAGACAAATAATATCTAGTTTGGTTTCCATTGCTCTCCTCAATGCTTTGTTTGTTATGTCGATTATCCCCCCCAAAAAAAGAAAAAAAAAATTCCCAACGTTGCTCACCACAATCATCTTCTCGACTTTGGCGATACCCTTCCCAAAAATAGTTCCCAACTGGTCGCCGACACCGGCCAACAGGAATCCAAACAGGGGAATGCCCAGCAGAGCGTAGAGGATGCAGAAGATCCGTCCTCCTTCTGTGTGGGGAGAGATGTTCCCAAATCCTGGTAAAACAGAGAGACCGGTGGAAAATGAACAAAAGCAATTCCAATTCAAGTCAGAACATGTTATTTTCACATTTTATTGCTGCCTAATCACTGTGTACCTCATACTGCCAGCATGGGCTGCATGCAAAAAAACACAGATCTCCTACGCTGCCATTAATTCATTTGGTGCAAAACCTGTTTTCTTGCTGAACAAATTTGATTTGCTCAAATTCAATAAGTTTGCAAATGCATTTGTAAATTTTAGAGAGCAAAATACTGCATAGATATGGATGTTGTAGCTTGTGACTAAATTTTTAAGTCAATTCAGTCACAAGCTGGTTACTTAGTGCATAATTTAAACAAAATAATAACAACAATAATAATAACCTATTACTTAGTTACTGTTTTAGCTTAATGAAACTCTGTAGACAGAAAAGCTGAATGAAGCACATTAGGAATTCAGACAAATTCAGACAAAATCAACTTGACAAAATTCCAGCGGTGGAAAATGATGGCGTGTAAGGGCCTCTGACTCACTAATTTATTATTCGGACCTGCAATTTCAAAGCAAAACGAATGAAATATGAACAGAGAAAGTGAACCTTCTGCTGATTTTTAGCACTTTCAGATGAGTGAAAAGTACATATCTGTTCATGGCTTCTCCTCTACAAACCTGCGTATAAAATGCAGCTTTACAATAACATATCAAGAAGAACCTTCAGAGATTTTGTTTCCTTGCGGACATTTGATTCCAAGCATCACACAGTGTGCACTGTGAGCTTCATTATTCAACAGCTGCTTAATGAACTAAATCTTACTTGCTTTTATTAATACATGTAAGCTACAGGGAACCTTCTGATGACTCCCTAGTCTTGGGCTGGACCGGAGTGACACCTAATGTGAGAGAAATTGTTGATCATATCTCAGTAATTCTATGATTAATTCCAGGCGAGCTGGGAAATGATAAACAGGAGGGTAGGCCTGCCATAATAAGAAATAAATCAAATAATCACATGGTAAATTAAAACAAACTCAATTTTGATTTGAATGATTTATCGTTTTTTCTTTTCTCTCTTTCTTTCTTCCAAAAACTAGATATAAACAGTCTTGAGTCTGAAAGACTAGCCCTTCTTTTCACGGACAATTTTGTTTACAGAGACTTCATAATTTATTTTATTTGTTGTTTCTGTTGTCTTGTTTATTTGTTTTGGATATTTTAAGTGTCTTCCAGTTCCAGGGTTAAATGTTCATTAAAATTTCAACTCTCTTGACAAATTCTAAACTGTGTTTTTTTTTAAAAACCCAATCAATTCAGAATTGTTTCCTTTTCTTTCCTGGTGTCAAGGTAAATAGTCAGAATCTGGTATTCGTGGACGGGGAAGCAACAGTGAAACGTGGCTGGAGTGTTCCAAGCAAGAGATTCACTCTGCAGAGATTTTGTAAAGCTCTCCCTGCCTAATTTAAAAAATAAAAAGAACAAAATACTGCACAACCCCAGCTCCCATATTTAGTGAACTGAAACTGAGCTGCCAAGAACAAAATGTTTAAACAGAAAAATTACTTCAGAAAAACCCCCCAAAACGTTATGCTGTGTAGGTTTATCTCTTTGCATCGCAAAAACTTGAGATGCAGTCAAATCCTCAATCATTTCCACCTCAATGAATGATAGAATTACAACCTTTAAAAATCAGGAAAAGAAAGGATTGTTTCTTTTCTCTTTTTTATTCAAAAATGGCAAATTCTGCTCAACAATCAACTTCCTGGTGTTTTTCTAGTTCAGGCAATTGTCTGTCTGAAAAAAGTGACATTTTTCCAACACTTTTATCTGCCTTGATCCTTTTCTATGAAAGGAAAACTATTCATCTGAATACATTGGTGAGTTTCACACCTTACTATAGAAGCTCCATTGATAATAAATATGATTTTCTCAGCAAAAAGGCTGAAGCCGACATCCGTCATTCACTCATGTCACCATGTGATTCATATACAAGAAGAGTTTGACTGTCTATGGTTAGAGGAAATACTCATATAATGGGCATGAAAGTCCAGTGGCCTTTGGTTTAAAGTCATGAAGAGATAAAAAAAAAGGTAAGTCTGATACCTTCACTAATAGGCAATTAAACTATTTTATGAGATATATAAATCATTTAATTTAATGTTTCCCGTTAGTTTTAATTTATGGGAATACCAATAATTTTACACAAAGGGATTATTAGCTTCATTGGGGATTATAATAACCAATTCATTACATTACTACAAGCCACAAAACATTTATTTTCCTATTAAATGGAGGCAAGCATGTAAAAATTGTTCATTCCTGTTGTTACAAACTAGAAATAATGGATTCCTTTGAGTGTTGTTATTGATCCAGATCGCATGGAAAGTAAATGGATTGTAAGTCAGACAGATTTAACAAAGAGATCTCAGGGGATCTGACACAGTGAGATCAATCACTAATTCAGCTCCAGGAGAGAGGAGGATAATCGCAGGAGCAGCTACTGTAAATTCCAGCAATTTTCGGAATTTACAGTAGGAATGAAAGAGAGGATTTTCAATAGTTTGGGTAATTAAATTATAATTATCTGCAAAGACAAAGAGATCCCCAGATTTTAACAGATGTTCAAAAATCTCAAGCTGATCGAAACAAATGAAAACAAAAAATACATCTCTGGGATTTCTCTGACAAAATGACACACTGGCTTCAGAGACAGCCTCTGAGTCTGATTTATTTACATAACAGCACGAAGGCAACGGAACAATCAGAAAAAAATGATGATTGCCCACAGACAGCACAGCAATTATGTGCTGTTTACACTAACAGGCTGCAAAGACAAAGCACACAAATCACCACCTGGGAGGGAGGTTTCTGCAGAAAAATCAAAGCTTCTGCCCACTGCTACCACCCTTACTTCATTTATGCAATTGGCCTGATGTGGACGTTTCTAAAAAACAGAGAGCCAAACAGATCTGTTCTTTGAATTGAAGCCATGGAGCTTTCTTCTCTGCATCAGTGAGCTAAAAAACAAACAAAAAAAAACTGTGCAAAATTTACCCTTTGCCTACGAAGTGACTTGCAAAAATATTTAACACCGCTTGAAATTCTTCACAATTGCTCAAGTTACAGGCACAAACATTGATGTGTCTTACTGGCAGTTTTCTAACTAAGACTGCACATCTTTATTTATGGCTGACTGTATACATGCTACTCTTGTCAGATGTTTTTGAAAGACCATTTTACTTTCTCTTACACATTATGCATTACTTTGTGTTAAACCATAACAAAAAAAATGCAAAATGTAAAATGGGAGTTTCCTATGCCAACTTTTGAGGCGCTGTGGCCTTAGCAAAGATTCAAATATTTATTTATAGCAATTCAGTTTTTTATGTGAAAATGTGCATCTTAGTAATGATCTCTGACAAAGCCTACATTTAATAAGCTGCAGGTGCCCACCAAACAGATGTGGTAGAGGCCTGTGAATGTGTGTAATCATGTTGTGACTGGTTTCAAAAAAATCAACTTCTCCATTGTGCAACACACCCTGGGAAACTGGAAATGAGTCTGATGAGAGTCTGGGCTGCATGTGGGTCGTATACTTTGATACTACAGTGCTCATCGAGAGCATGCTCTGCCTACACATTATGGCCATTCATGTGAAAATACAAGCACACTCTTATTCCAAGCTGATAGCCAAATCAGCTTATTACACTTTAGTGCATTTAATTTCCTCATTAGAGACTGAGCTTTGACAGGGTGCTGGAGATGTGAAATGGAGCCCAACAACCCACTGAACAGACATAGTGATCTGTCAAGGTCCAATTGGAAAAGCCAGATGAGCTGTCAGAATGTGTGTGTGTGTGTGCGTGTGTGTGTGGGTGTGTGTGTGGGGGTGTGTGTGCGTGGGTGTGTGTGTGTGTGCGTGCGTGTGCGTGGGGGTGTGCGTGTGTGTGTGTGTGCATGCGTGTGTGTGTGTGCATGCGTGTGTGTGTGTGCGTGCGTGTGTGTGTGTGTGCGTGGGTGTGTGTGCGTGTGCGTGTGTGCGTGTGTGTGTGTGTGTACGTGTGTGTGCGTGTGTGTGTGTGTGTGTGTGTGCATGTGCAAGAGTCTGTAAGGAGGGTGCTTGTGTGAGCTGTTACTTTTTTTCCTGATTAGTAAGCCCTTACAGCTGCAGATGACACAAAGAGGGGACAAAGTGTGTAAAAAAAAGATGGGAAGCATGGTGGATTTTCAGCCTGTGGCATTCAGATAAAGGGTTATGTGCTCTAATTATACTTTGAGTCCTGCATTTAACTTCTGTTGCTGTGAATGAACAGGATATTAGCTGTGTTGCAAGAACTGCGATAACATTTTAAACCTTGCAAGGAGCGAAAATTACTTAGTGGAAATTCTCCTCAGTTGGATAAATGAATGACCAAACGGAGGTCAGACTGAGAGATGAAGTTTGGTATCCTTGTGGTTCTGTCATTCATCTGTTGAATATATTCTTTTCATTGTCTTACTGATGTTAAATGGGCTCCATTCAGTCTGGGGTGGAAGTGAAAGAGCAAATCAAAGTGCAATCTTGTAGAGGAAATGAGTTTTTTGCAACTGTTGCTGGAGTGCAGTCATTGTGCAATCTTGGACAGGAGCTGATGTGACTATAATTTATGTGTGCAGGTGCAATTTCATGCCAAAATGGTCCTTGAAATTACACAGTTATTCTGCCATGCTTCTACTCTCTAACAGGGGAACATATGTTTGTTTGTTTTTTTATTTTTATTTTCAGGTCTCAGAAAACAAGATGCTACATTCTCTTTATTTAGAAACCATTCTTCCTACCAATTGTGGTGATAACAGTCCCGGCAAAGAAGAAGGAGGAACTGAGGTCCCACAGGCTCGTCTGATTGGACAAATTTCCTGATGGATTCACTCCAGCACGAACTGCCGAAACCACTTGCTGCAGACGAAAGGAGAGCAGTTTAAATGTTAAGATGGTGGCTCTCATTAGGAGTTTAACACAATATAGGTTCAGAAACTCAGAAGATGAATACAAAATTAGTGGTGCACGACGGCTCTCCTGGGAAATAAATGACAGCTGAGGTAAACATCCAACAAAGACAATTAAGAGTGGGGAAAAGATGATAGCATCTGTCTCCTTTTGAACATTTTCTTTGAAGTTGCAATCTTTTTCACAAAGAACCTGTCAAGGCTGCTGGGAGTAAAACTCAATGAAGCAATAAAAATGATCAGTTTTGATGAATTCTTGTTTACATTTTTGTGTTTTCTAAAGCCAAGTTTCACACCCACAATGTGAACACTGAAATGCAAAGAGCTTCCTCACTCTAGAATTCATGCTTTGTCTGTTGTGCTTGAGTGAAAGACTGAGCATTTTAACTCTGTGCAAATTGGTGACTTTCTGCACCCTGGCTGCTAAATGCATGAATGCTAAACAAGGTAAGATGAGCTCAGTTTACCCGTTTTCATTTCTGCCGACAGTTTTGACCCTTCTTGCTCTCCTGCAGTTTAAATCAAGTGCAGGCAAATCCAAACACTGAAATCTGAATTAGAGATATTCACGAGTCATTTTTCCTACATCTAAATCATGACACAGGTCTTTGAGAGGCAAGTTCAAGTTAAGTTTTATCAATAAATACATACCCATAAATACTTTTGACCAATAACATTGCATTACTCTAGGTTAAGAATTTAAATGTATAATATGTACCCTAAGTCCTAATTTAATGCAAACATTTAATAGTACTTTTTGAGTCTAGCTCTTATCAACAATCTTTTGATGTTTTCAAATGTGAACTCAATATTACACATATTATGATCTGATTTCATTGTATTTTTCAAGCTCAAATCTTTCATTTTAAACAAAAATAACAGGAATATAGCACTTGTTTGTGTTGAATTTCTGTGCTTCTTATTTTAGATATCTTTATTTTTAACAGTACTACAAAGATGAAACAGTACAGTACAATACGTCCCATTTAAGACAAAAGGTTGACTAGGGTGGGCCTTATGATCTTCACAGCATCACTGAGACAGACAAAAAGAAAAGCTTTGAGACTTCAGAAGAGCTGCAGTCAAACCTTCGACTATAATGCTAATAATTGAGGGAGAACATTTTAAAACATTTATCTCCTGTCTATGAGTTTTTTTTTTAAACTCAAAGCCTCTAAAATATCAAATCTCCTGTGATGCAGTTTAATAATTTTGCGACTTTGATCAGGAGGGAGCAGCAGATGGAATAATCTCCGTTAACTGAATTTAATATGAATGAACCTCCAGGAATAGAACAGTAATGTACCATTAAAGATGTTCATACACAATATTTAAGGTCACTAAAATGTCACAGGGTGTACAGTGTTTATAATTATTCATCATCATTAGTGACATGAAGCTTTCTTTCATTCACGACAGAGAGGCTGCATAAGACAGTAAAGATGAGAGTATTAAAGTGGACTTAAAAAAGACAGCAAATGAGAAAAGGCTGTTTTACAGTTCAGAAATAAGTTAGAGGGAAGACAGACAGCTAGACTAAAATTACACTGGCAGTGTAACGTTGCACTTACCAGCCGCTTCAAAAGGTACACCTTGCTAGTAAAAAGGTCGGACTCCTTTTTGGCTTCAGAAACATCTTGATGTTTTTGCGGTACAGGTGGGCAAGTCTGAAAGATTTCTCTGAGATTTTGTTCCATGTTCACATGACAAGATTTTAAACTTGCAGCAGATTTGTCAGCTTCACATCCTTGATGGAAATCTCTAACACAAGCTTAACTATAAGGTGCTTTCTTGGACTGGGATCTGCTGAATTAACTCATTGTCATTTCAGTTTCAGATGATTAAAGCTTTATGTCATTGTGCGTTTTCTTGCTGGAAGTGTCCATTAGAACAGGTGCACATAAAAGGATTGACACAGTCAACTCTATACTTTAGGAAAACATCTGAATGCTGTAGGCAGAAACTCATCTGACATTTTCCAAATATGTCACTGAAACTGTGAATTGTTGCCTGAGTTTTCTAAACATAGCTGACAGGAGTGGAATCCAGTGTGGCAGTAGCCCATAGGCTTCAAGATTCAATGTGTTTTTGTTTCTTGTGTTTACAGATTATTCTCTATAAATTAGAGAAAAGTTGTGTAAGAAAATGTCAGCAGTTTATCGGTGTGGCACCAACAATCATGCCACATTGAAAGTACTTTAAATTGCCTATCTCCCTCATTCTGGTGCTTTCTTTAATTTGTCCTCTTCATCACATTTAGATCTCTAAGTTCCTTTGATTTCTGCTAAAGCAATTGAACTGGTGTACCTGAAGAAGTTGCTGATCAGCGTTTATGGTGCAGTTAATATATTATTCATCAATGAGTGACTTTTCTTCCATTACCTGTTTTCCCCTTATCTGCGATGGGACCAAGGTAACTAGTTCAAGTGAAAAACCAATATACTCCTTTGCCTAGAGATATTTTATGTTTTTTATGCATATTTATGCTTCCCATAGTGAGTTGTAGCTTTGCACAGAACAGCCTTCATTGTTGACTCTCCTAATGTAGAGAAGATATTGCCCTACTCCAAGCTTCCCCCAGAGCTCCAGAATAAAACACTATTATACTTGAGGTATTCCTCCACTTCAGGTAGGAACTGAAACCTTTGGGTAACATTATTATGTTTAGGAACCATGGCCTCAGTGATCACTTTAAATTTTAAACTCTAAGTTTGATAAATCTAAACAGACCAGATAGAAACTGAGAACCATCATGAAACGAGTCGTTTTAGGCTATGAATACATTAAGAGAACGGGAATTATGTGCTATGAATATTTCCAGCTGTTCAAAGCCTAAAAACAAATGTAAATGAGGTTAAAAGATAAAACCTCACATCCATTGTTCCTCCAAAGAAATCCTTCAGCGAGGCAAGGCTCAGTCAGTCCCTTTTGTTTTGCACCCAAGTGAGCTTATCATTTCTTCCCTGCTCTGCCATTTGCACACAAAGCTGCCCATAATAAGGCAAAAATTATGTGGACATCACGCAGGCTATTGGCGAGCTAAACCAAACAGTTGAGAGAATCTGAATCGTCAAAGCCTTTTTTTGATATAGCTTACCTTTTTAATTACTCCCTTTGAGAGCACACTTCTCCTTCATCCTCTGCTGACTAGCTTTTGAAAAAAGTTGTGTGTTTGTGCAAAGTAAAGAGTGAATAAATGGCACCTGGGTGGAAACCGTGCATCAATAAATCATCAGAGGAAAAGTAGTTGCTTGAAAGGTTGCTTAACTCAGTCACTGACCTGCTTACTAATAGATGATAGGCAGAGCTGACGAGTGCTGTAACATTCTCGCGAAACAACAAAAGGATTAGAGTAATTTTTGGTTGAAAGTGGAAAGCTGTCTTATATTTACTCTGACAGTATCAAAAGAAAACATGTTTCCAAAAGAAAAAAGTGCTGAGTTTGAACCATAATTAACAGAGGTGGTCTGTCCTGGAATGTGTTAGCGGTATTACATGACAATGTTTTTATGTGGGATTCAATAAACAATCAGAAATACAAATTTAAAACAACACAATTAGACCTGATAACCTGAAATCAATTTGGAAAACAATACAGGCTAGATTAAACCAAATTTGAAAACAATTATTTGTTTTTTAATGGGGAACATCTGTGTTAAACAGGGAGACTATTAAGAAGAGAATTCAAATCATGAACAAAAACAAAAGTCCAAATACCTGATCTCAAAGAACAGATATGTTTTTGATGAAATGTCTGTATTTTGCTTTGTTTTGAGCTTCAAAAGTGAAAAGTTTTTGGTAATAGTTTTTGGCCAATATCCAATTGTGCTTGAGCGACTGTCTAAGAATGTATAGTGAAGAATTCAAAATAACACAAAACATTTCCAGATCTTGAGATCAGAGACGAAAAGTAGAAAAGAACTACACTTTATATGTAGAAACATTCTGCCATTTCTAACTTTCTTTTGGCTGTGAGTCATGAGAGGCTTTGAGTTTGATTTGTGTTTGTTTGATGTTTTATTCAACTAGTGGTTTTATTATCTTGTTTCTGTACCTTTGTAGCATTCTGATTGTTTATCCTGTTGCTTCATGTGCTTGAATCCCTCTCAGTGCTGCTAATCAGTTATCATATTTGGTATTCTGTGTGGTTTTCATTATTCCCCGTCAGCTTGTTCTTATTGTTAGGACGTCTTCACACGTTTGGCGGTGTGCACACCTCCAAATTGCACATAGAGAATTTCAAGCTGTAGTTCAAATGTAAAGTAGAATTATAACAGAATCTAGGAGAAGCCTTGTCCCTGAATTGTAATCATTGACAGATAATTAATAAGGTCAGTAAAGAGAAAAAAATAGGAAATGGAAGCAAAAACCTGAGCACCAGTCATGTGGCTTTAAACAATCTTTTTCAGTGGTTTCATCAGAACTCTGGGAAACTACCGTACTCCAGGTTTGACATCCTCAGTACGTAACAACTCAATAAAAACACATTTAATTTTATGCATGATTCCTTTTCACTTCCTCTTGGCAAGATATAAGCATTCACTGTTTTGCAGATTAAAATTAATGAACAGAATTATTCAGCAAAGCATAGCACTCTGTGACAAAACCCCTGATTATGTCTCCTTTTGTTTTGTTTTCAGTTCTGAAATACTATTTTTCTATCCTAGAAGCTTTATTTTGCATCTCACTTGCCTGCTCCAGTGTGAATTTAGGTCAAATTCCTTCTCAGTTTGACAATTTCATAGATAATTGCATGGCATTGTCAGACTCTTAGCACAGACAATGACCAAAATTCATGTCAGTGAAAGATTTGCAGCATCCCAGCAAAGCTTGTGATAGACTTTCATAAAGCTCAGCATCAACATTGCAGATCTTTTTAAGGTGACTGCAATTAAATGATGTTAATGAGCTGCTTTTCAGGTACAACGTGAAATTGTTAGTTTTTCATAATGAAAACAGATGAAAAAATATGGGGCAACTTTTCTTGGGAATCCAGACATTTTAAGAAAAAAAGCTCAGACAACAGCGAAGAGAGAAACAGATGTGAAATCTGTTTGTCAAATATTGAAAAAAACATTTTATGTTTTATTCTGATTGCTATACTTTCAGTAGATTTTAGTGCGTCTCTCCAAGAATGGAAAACTAATCCTGTGTCTTATGTTGACTGTTTACCAGATCACCTGCAGATGCAGCAGTGTTCTTTGTATAATACAGTATTTGTGTCCCTGCAGCCCTGCCGTGCACATTACTGTTGTTCAATGTTCTCCTGGTGGTGAATTTATAAACATTAACCTTTACTCTGTACGTTAATGGAATCCAAAGTCGTTAGAAGACAAAGTCTAACCTTTTCCAGCCGCATGAAATCTTTGCATGAACTTAGAAATCTCATTTTACTCCTGCTTTGATACCTGTCCTCATCCCACTTAACTTCCTGCTTCTATACACACCAGATTGACACCATATCAGTTAAAAAAAAAACAAAAAACAGTTTTTTTAGAAACTGAAACTGCCACTTAGTGGAGCTTAAGAAAACACTCTTTGTTTCAACAACAAAACTACCATTTATTGTGAATTTTCCCAATTTTTTTAAAACTAGGATATGTTTTTACCTGTTGTTTTCAGTCTAAATTATGTAGAAATCTTGAAAAATGTAAAACATAAAAGCTCCCTTCCAAGAACAAAATAGAATCTTTCGAGAAAAAATAACCTATAAAATTATGACTTTTCATTGTGTCCTCTTAATTAAAAACAGGATCATTTAACTAGATTTGCTCAGCGTAGTAAATATCCATGTATTGAGTAAAATAGTGTCAGCAGAGTTCAGTTGCATTATTCTCAAGCAATCTTGGTTGAGTGTGTTTAATAATCATCACAGGATTAATGGTAAGGGGGAAAAAAATCTTCATTATGACAAAGGTTTGAATAAAATTATGAATTTCTTCAGTCAGTTTTTACACCTGATCTTTACAGCATATAGTGTTGATGCTATCTTATTACAGTTAGGGCTTCAAATTGGATCATATTTGCATTTTCTTTACATGAAAGGTAAATAAATTTGGTATTTGAGATGATGCATTCTAACTGAAAGCATCACTGAAAAAAATATATAACATGTCATGCTCGAACCTCTTTAATAAGAGAATAGGTTACAGCGGTATCTTCTTGTATCAAGCAGATACTTTTTATGGATTAAAAAAACTAACTGTAATCACAGTCCTTCAAGGAACTTGCACTCGATTCTTGATTTCTGTCACCTTGTGGCCTAAACTCGCTGCCGACTTTGTTCGGTACACCTGTTCAGTTGATTTGAGCACAAACTGCATTTTAATCTACAAATTAAATGTTGCAATTCAATGCCTGTAAAACTATTTTGAGACAGAAAATGAAAGCAGTTCAGTTCTTATGTTCTAATGCTGAAGTCCTTATGATGAAGGAGCAACATAGCAGATTATGAGTTCACCCAGATAGCTACTAGGTGAAGCAAAAACATCCCAGACTAAACTCTAAAGAGATTTAAAAAGTCCAAAAATCAGTTTTATAAATGATTTTAAAACTCTGGACAACAAATATGTCACTGTAGCTGAGAAATTGTTTTGTCACCTTGCCATTGTACATCTAAGCATCTTGACAAGGCGTAGCTGTCAAAATGCTCACTATGTAAGTTAGCTCATGTGACTGCTATTGGCTTTAACACATGGTTTTTCTTAACCAAGGTGGGCACCTGCCAACAGGACTGCACTTCAAACTTTGTTTTTAATTCAGAAGGTTTCTATTTTTTATTTTTTATTTTACTTTGACTATTCATCCAGCATTCAGATTGGTGAGTTGAGGCATTTGAAGAAAAACACATATCATCTAGAATGTGACGACTGTGATGACATTAGAAATATATATATATATTTTGACCCATTAAAGTTGCATGATGTAAATGGCTGCTAGTTTTACTTACACTAAGACATTCTGGTGGTATGAATTTGTAAGTCTTCATGAACCACATATTGATAGCAAAGCCACAACAGTTTAGCTTCCACAAAATTCAAGCAGAAATTGCAGCACTTGATCACATTGCAAATCGTGCTCAAGTGCTTTGCTGTTTCAGTTATTGACTAAAATTGATATCAATTGTAAAAAATATTAACAACAGATTACATATATTATTATATCTATCTATAAAATAACCACAATTCTGTAAGCAGGAAACAAATTGAAAATGCAAACAGTGAGAAACAACCAAACAACCTTTGAGTTTATTTTAGTATAAAAGGTGATTCATTCCACAACAAACCTCCAGCTGTGGCAATTGTTGTTTTTGTGGCAAAACAAAATATGTATTGCATGTGCTCTGATAATACTTTGCATAGCCAGTGTTTCAATAAACCATTCGCCTTTTTTGCAACAGTTTGCTATAAAAAACACAAAACATAGGAATAAACCTGTCATGCATTTGAAAGCAATGCACATGTCAAAAGAAACCTCATTTTGTCAGGCACTATAAGTCACCAGAAAAGAAAATATTACACCTGCCTTGACAAGATCCTCCAGCTCCGTTGAATTTATGCAGCTGTGCAAGGCCAAGAACTCCAGTTTTTCTTTCAGAATGACCGCTTTCTGGTAGCTTTCGTGAGGCTGCTCCAGAGCCTGGAACACTGTTGCCCCGATGATGAGGTACAGCACCACCAGGAAGAAAATGGCCGACACAGTTTTCCACCTCATGACTGTGGTCCGGGTGTCACACTCATCCTCCGGAGTGTTCAGCACCACTGGTTTTGTGGAGAACGACAGGCGAGGCTTGGAGTTGTGGACAGCAGCCTTTGGGTCAAGGAGGTCAGGTGCGGCCACTGGAAGGAAGGAGATCATCGTTATCTGAGGTGTTCCACACTAAAAGAGCTAAACAATTATACATGCTTATGTTAAAAACAGCCTTGCTAACATATTATGTGGTGTTTTTTTCTAATACTTAACACATTTGACTTTCTGTCAGAAGCTAATTAAATACTTTGTTGGATTATTGCCACTGAAGGCCAATTTATTTGACATTTTAATATTAAAACTCTACCAGTGAAAAGATGACTGATTGTTCCACTGTTTTCATTTCATTATACTTCTTTGAATTACTCTTTCTTACTATTTTTACTCCTTCAATGTTTCCATAGATTTTGACAGAGCTAATGCTTCTGGAGCTGTTCAAGTAACTCCTATTTTCTCTTAGTCAAGGACTTTACACTTCTTTAACAATATTTTCATTGTTTTTCTCCAACTTTCTCAGGGCAACAAAAAAAAATGTTTTTTAAGGAGAAGTTTATGCGCAGCACAGCCACCTAGTACAGCCATGCAAAATACATGAGGCTCTGTAGACAGGTTGTATAAAATAGTAACTATGCTGCATTTTTCACTGTAATTTCTTTCACCTTCTACCCACTAACATTTTTATTATGTTTCTTTCAGGGAAAAATATTTTTTTCAGTGAAGAAAATATATATTTTTTTAATGTGAAGAATAAAACTTCTGCTGTTTTTTAATAAAAAAATGCCTTTGCCTATACATGGAGATTTAATAGAGGGTAATGAAGAGAATATATTTTTTCAATTAAATTTTTGTCAACTTTTAAGAATGAACATGGAGTTAGAAGCTGCTCAGCATCGACAAGCTTTTCTTCAACCAACATAAACTGCATTAACTCTCAGCCTTACACAGCCATTTTATTACTAACTCAAGCTGCACAAGTCTGAATATCTTCCTAATAAATACATAATTAAAGCTTTCACCAGTGCATCCAGGTGAAGTCGTCAGTCCCCATTAGTTGTTGATTATTATTCAAGCTCCTGTCTCAATGATCCAATTATTTGACTTATTTTTCACATTTGAATCAAGACTTTAACATACAAAGACTCATGGCAGTAATTCAAAGGACTAGCACATGCAGGCTATGAAGTGAATTCTACAACATTTATATTTAGAGGACATGTTTTTTGGGATTTTATGCACAACACATGACTGTGAAGTAGAAGCAAAATGACAATTGGTTTTGAAATATATTACAAATAAAAATCTCTAAATGAATACAGCTTCCATCAGCCTTTTACTTTACTTTTTTTTTTTTGCTTTTGCTGCTACAGGGTTGGTTGAAGCATGAATGAAGTTTGTTGTTGAACAACAGTCTTTGAAAGAGGTCTGAACTTTGACTGTACTTGTTAAGCCTTGCCCACTCCAGGCCCTTCTCCTTGCCAGCTTCTAAAATGTATTCTTCCAGGTTTGCCCTGCATTAAGCTCCTTTCCAATTCTTCCTGATTGGCATTCCTGTACCTGGGATTGTACTGTGCTAAACAGTTCCAGGACTTATTTGGAAAACTGAGGCTGCTTTTTGGTCATTTTAAATCAGGTCAAACAAAGCTCCTATATGGAGTCCCTCAAGACTCCATATAGGAGAACGTTTACTCCTCTGGCTCAGATCTTTGGAGTAGTACAACATTGTTTAACATATCTATCCTCCAATATTACATTTCTGTCCCCACTTGACCGTAGTTCACTACAGTTACTATGTCCAAAATACAATCGCAATGCAGAAGAGTCAGAATGTGGCAAGTGGCAATTGCTTCCTTGACTTATCCAGTGTGCTTGCTGTGTTTTTGCATTCTTTCACCAGAGCTGTACTGGTGCCACACTGCTATTGTTTTTTTTAGGCAATTCTTGGAAGATTTTAGTGGGCAGACTTTGTGAAACCCCAGGCGAAACATGAGATTTCTACAGAAAGCCCACTGTTTCTTTTTACTGAGCATTTTATGAGGCGTCCATTTTTATGGTTGCACTGTTAGAATTACTGGATCTGCACCTCTTGTTCAGCTCCCAGTGATCTGTAGCAATCAGCAGCCTCACATCCACATGTTTTCGTTTCCTTGGATAAAAATCAAACACACAGACTCTAATCTTTGTGGAATAAACTAAGACTGTCTGACAGCGGGTTATTACATTTTAATGTTGCACATACAGCACTTTCTCTGCATGGCTACATTCTTTTTTTTAGTATTTCTGTGCTTGGAACATGAGCTACACCAAAAAAAAAATAATAAAATAAAATAAAATAAACAAATACATTTAAAACATTAAATATTTAACAATATTTGCCACAATGATGTTTCTCAAGCGTTTGTTACCCTTAGGTGATTACGTAACACCGCCCAAGAGGTCTGTTAGCCTTTTTTTTTTTTTTAGGAAACTGCTTCCACAGAGTAGTTAGTACTCACTTCATACCTCCCTCATTCTTATTTTATAAGTTATATGACTAAGGTAAATACTGTTGTCACGATTCAGATGGTAAAAAAATAAAAATAAATAGTTTTTATGGAACAATGTTTGACAATACAGACACAAAAATGACACAAATTATCTGTTAACATTCACAATTCACGCAGTCAATTTATAATCACCTTGATGTCAACGTAGGCTACTTACTTCTCTACCATCTCGTCTCTGGCGGTTTCCTAGAAGGCGTTATTTTCCAGGAAAGCGCAGCACGGCTCTCTGTCTAAAGTCTGCCTTTGCCTCCCGTGGTCGCTCCAGAGGACGTGTCCGCTGCCCACATGGCTTCGGAGCGCTGACCTGCTGCCTGCTTCACGATCTCCGGAGAAAAATCATCCGGCTCATGACGTCCGGTCGGCACAAACGCGAGCCGAGACTGAGCGTAAAAGGAGCTGGCAGAGGCTCCTATCCACGGTGCACAGCCAGGTGTTTGGGGGAAGCGTGGTTTGTTGTTGGAGTGAGAGCAAACACTGGTAAGAAAGAGTAAGACAGCGACGGATGCGCTGCAGTGCGCTGGAGAGAGAGAGAGAGAGAGAGAGAGAGAGAGAGAGAGAGAGAGAGAGAGAGAGAGAGAGAGAGAGAGAGAGAGAGAGACCAGAGAGAGAGAGAGAGAGAGAGAGAGGAGAGACAGAGAGAGAGAGAGAGAGAGAGAGAGAGAGAGAGAGAGAGAAACCTCTGAGGTTTCTAGCGCTGAAACATCTTATGGGAAATTTCTATAGCTCAGGATTCAGAGCCCATGATTATTGGCAGTTTGCAAAAGTATTCATGCCCCTTAAACTTTTTCACATTTTGTCTCATTGAAAACTTCACTCTCAGTTGTTGTGATTCTATGCTAAATCAATCATTAAATAAATAAATAATTGTCAAACAGGAAGAAATTACACATGGCTTCATTTTACTTGTATACTGAAGGAAAACAAATTGGAGAGTGGCTGCTTCTTAAAGAGAAAGAGGTCAAACTTCAAGGTGTCATGTTACTTACATGTTATGACACCATACGTAACATGGTGTCATAAAATGGCACCTTGTTACACACAGCATGGTGTTGTAGGTTCAGTAAAGATTTAAGTTCATGATTCAATACTGAGGAACAGTCTGGGTTCTGTTTCTAATTTGCCCAAAACCATTGTGACATTTCTTAAGAGTTTTCAAGATTTTCTTCTGTTGACTAATTTAACACAATGTAAACCTTTTAGAAGGTGCATCTGGAGTAAAACTAAAATAGCGAACATCACACTTTACACTGACAATGGTCCCAATACAGACTGCAGAATGAAACAGTTGGCAATTTTGCATCATCATTTTACATAAAAGCACCTTGTACAGAGGACTGACATTTTCCTCCTGAGGTCTGCCCACCCTTGTTGCTTTACTTTCCCTCTCAAGGACAGTTTTCTGCTGTTTAAAGCAGAAAGCGCAGTGCCATGATGTCCTTGTTGGACCAGTAATTTAAACGGGTGCTGCCCCCGTCACAGAGACGTTGAACCTGCAGGCGACAACCAGCTTATCAGTGGGAGGAAGCAGACCCCAGGGCACGACACTACATGCTCCAAAGCACAGGTTTGGTGCATTAATTAAATCCATCCGAATTAGTGAGACAGTCTGGGCTGTTTCTGATGTGACTTTTCATTTATTTGTGGCATGTAGGTGTGTTCTCTCTGAAAAAGTAGAGAATACACAGGGGCTGACAAGGATTTTAATTAGGTTACAGTCTGTTCTGTCCTTGAAGATGTTCATATAAGGCAGAAAACCGCAGGATAGTGTGTGTTAGTGCTGAAGTGCCCACTGTATTGATCAATATTGACTGCTCATTTGCATAATGTACTTGTGGTAATTGAATGGTAGGACTCCAGAGCTGAGTTTCTCTGCTTTAATAAGATACATTTATTAATCAAGCAAAAATCTTCTGAGGTACAATATTGTGACTTTCATGTTTTGTTCCATTTTAGTCAGATTACATGCCTTAAACTTTTTAAGTTCATGCAAAACTATATACAGGTTTGTATGCAATACGTGTGAACATTCTGTTTGTGATAATAAAAGAATAAAGAATGTTATTATTATAGAGGATTGTAAATCTAACTGCAGGTCTTCTGGGATTCAGTATTTTTCTTTTAAATCTCGCAATATTTTAAGCTAACATTTCTAGCAGTTGGATAGAAATGATTTATGGCAACACAACATGTTGCCATAAATCTTTGTTCTGTTTGATTCAAATGTGTGTGATTTTGTGATGTCAAGTTATATCTCTTCTGGCTATGATAGAGCTCAAGTAAACAGCTGTTTTTCACCCAATATGAACCTTAAGCTCAGCCAGATAGTTTTTATAAAGTATTCTGAGGGGAAGATTTGCACCTATTGTCGTATTTATTTCACACTGAAGGAGTTAAATGTCTAAGTAAATATCACCCAATTCCTCTGACTGCCCACAGGCAAGTGCAAGCCCCACACCATGAAATCCATCCTGCTCCAGTATTGATTTTTACAGCCGCCTCCTAATTTGTTTCCTCTGCTAGATGAAGTCTTCAGCTGTATAAATGTCTTCTTTCTCACAGACATTTCGCTTGAAATTTTCTCTGGTCTTACCTCACCTCTTTCAATCCCAGTCGACGTCAGATGTGAAGTCACACAGAGAATATATAAATTCTCTCTTTTTTTTCTTTTAGCTTTCTGTGCAGTAGTGTCGATGAGCTGTAATAAAATGTATTAATTAAATAGATAGCTCAGCGTTATAATCACTTTCACAATTTCTCCAAACTGATCAAAGGAGCCTTGCTTCCCGATCCCCAATTTTTTGCTTTAATTAGAAATAATTGAAGTAGTTTGAAGTTGAGTTTTTTAACAATAGTTACAAAAATTGAAAAAAACTTATTCAGTCTCACTAAGGTCTGTCCAGTAATGACTCAATTAAATAAAAAGACAAATTTAAAGATTAAATGTTCTAACACTAATTCTTGAATATACACTATCCCTCAAAGACAAATGGGGAGAAAAGAGTTAAAAAAAATCATATTTAAACTAGTGAAAGATCTATTCTTTATTAAATGTTCCCAGTCTCTCTGGAGTTTAGGAAAAGGGGAAATCTTGAATTTGAATTTTTTGCTTCTTTTTTTTTTTTTGTCCTATTGCTTTGCTCCTGACACTGAGCACTTTTCACAACCAAATAACATGTCTCATATTGAATAGTGCCCAGTTTGGCGGGCAGCTTTAATGAAACCAGGAACATATGGTTCATGTTACATGAAGACAGAAACCTTGTTATGGGTGACATTGCTGCATTAATGTGCCATACTATCAATGTAATTTTGTAAAGGCGGAGCAACAAAAGAGTAAAGATGTTGATGATGAATTTCATTCAAGATTCTCATGAATAAGTTACTAAAAACCATTCTACTGAGTCCATAAGAGTCTCTTGGAAAGCAAAGTTGTTTAAGGCATTTGTCATCTTTAAAATCAGTGGGACGATCTTAATGTACTCATCTGATTCCAACTATTGTAGCTATTTCATTTTTTCACAAACACGTTGGCAAAATCTATGTGCTTCTCACTAACAGATTTAAAAACAAAAAACCCCATCTGTCCCTATTGTTCTCTGTATGAGTGCAAGAATTTTAAAAAAATATATTGCACAATTGTCTTGCCAAAATCTGTCAGGAGTTGTGTTTTTCAGAAGGTTCAGGAAACAGATGAACCACAACATCAGCAAGCAAAACATTTTTAAGGTTTCATTTAATTATACACTTTTATGTCCACGGCCTCATCTGCAAGCTCGCATTGTAAAGACTCCGGGGATTTGACGGTCCTGCTGAATCTAACTCAATCGTTTCTACAGACGCTGCACTTTGCTCGTCCTGCAGAGAGTTATCAGCAAATCCACAGTGTCGGGACCTCTACGGTGTGTTTTTACACACTACCCTGCATGTTTCAGTTGTTTCCCTGTTTCAGCAAACCTGATTTCAGTTAAAGGTTGATTAACAAGCTTTTGCTGAACTGTAAACAACTGAATCAGGCGTGTTAAAGCAAGGAAATGTCAAAAACTCTCAAGGCAGTGTGTCTTAAGGGTCAGGGTAGGGAAAAGATGCTCTGCGGGGTAAAAAGTGTACATTTCTAGACTACTGGATTTAAAATGATTCATCTCCCACCACAAATTAAATTTGTTCAAAAAATTCAAATCACATTTTAACTAGACCTACATGATGCATCAGCAATAGGGCTGAAACTAGTGATTATTTGGACAACTGCTCATTTAATCTAATTCCAAAAGCAAAATTTAGGTTGATGTTAGGAAATTACCCTTTTATAAACTTCTGCTGTATCAAACATTGTTCAGATCCCTGGATAGTTCAAGAGCACAAATCTATTTAGACTAGATCTTTACCTTCAGGTTGACACCTCACATCGCTGTTTGCAAAAACCAGCCACAGAGACAGGATCTTTCTCCAGGCTGTCTCTAATGAATACGCAACAGTTTTGAGTGCCCACATCCACACTTTTTTTAAAAAAAAATTGTTTCTACATGAACATTTTTACAATTAACAAATTTTGCAGTATGGACTGATCAGTTTTAGGTGCAACTGTGTAATGAATGTCTCAGCAAGTAAATTCAGTGTTCTGTAAACTCATTGTAAATTATATAAATCACTTATAGAAGAGTTTGATGTAGAATTCACATTGAATATCTGTAACTCACACAAGCTGCATTATGTAAAAACCTTTCTTATCCGTCAGGCTTCAGTGGTCTCTGTTAATTGCGCGATCTTTACACACTGGGTTTAGAAGCCATTAAAATGCGCAGTTGGTTCTCAAACAGATAGAGCTTCAGTATCTCATGTTGATTTCTTCCTCACTTTATTAAACTGTCATTTTCTTGTCTGGAAGCTAGTCACTATTTTTTGATAAGTTAAGCTATTTTGCTCCTATGGGGACTTTTTTAGTTCCTACATGCTAATGAAAGTTGATTAAAGACAGTAATGAAGTAAACTAAACACGTTATGTTTATGTGCTCAAACACAAGCTTCTCGGTCTTAATAATTAGGCTCTGCTTGAACATATTCCCAGTTGTACTGGGTTCAGAAAAGCCTGGGAAGACATTTTATAGCAGTTTGTTTTGCAAGCTGTGAGAAAATTGACATAAAGATATTAATAATAAAATCATCAATTTCAATAATAATTACACAATGTCAGTGTATTTATCTGAAACAAGATAACAAAATGGCTTAAAAAATTTGATTTTATTCTTCTTGTTTCCTCTGGTAGATTAAATGAGGCTCAAAGGTCTGTTGGTGAATATTTCAAATATGCAAAGATTAATAAAAATACCTGTGGGATATATGTGATTAGATTTCAACATCACATTATTTTCAGCTAAGCAAAAAGATTATTATTAAAGTGCAGGGATGCTCTTTCTTTCTATCCTGTTCAGTACTGTTCCCTGCTCTCTGCATGGAAGCACACTCTATTAAT